CTTCATCCCACCGTCCAATCACATGCAGGCTAGATTAACTGGTGATTCTAAATTGTCCTTAGGTGTGAGTGCTTGTTTGTATATGTGTGGCCCTACGTTGGGCTGCTGACCTGTCCATGGTGGACCCCGCCTTTTGCCCGATGTTGGCTGGTACACAGGATAAGTGGATGACGACGAGTCAGTGATGAGTTCCTCTGGGGCCACAGTCCTCCTTTTCAGCTGCCCTGTGGCGAGATAAGAGCAGCCTTGGATAATGGAACGCTCACAGCAGGAACATCTTTGTGGACTTGAGCTCTTCTTTTAACACCATCCAAATGCATCTGATGATCCAGAAGCTACACCATCTCTACAATGGGCCTTAATGAACTGGCCTGAGTGTACTGTTGTCTTTGTGTGTCGTCACTGTGAGCTGTTGTCTGATCTGTTTAGTGCTGTGAAAAGGAACTGTCTGAAGATACATCATTTATTCTTTATTCAGATTGTGGAGATGCAGTTTGTCAGAGATCAGCTGTGCTTCTCTGGCCTCAGCTCTGAAGTCAAACCCCTCCCATCTGAGAGAGCTGGACCTGGGTGACAACAAGCTGCAGGATTCAGGAGTGAAGCTGCTGTGTGGTTTTCTGGAGAGTCCACACTGCAGACTGGAGACTCTGAGGTCAGTTCACTGACTCTGTTACTATTGTAAATCTGATATGTGTCATTAGGGGTCCAATCTCAAGGGGCTGGGCGTAGTAATGAAATTAAAATGACAGGGCCCTGTATTTTGGCCCCAAACCGTTCAGTGTTTTATAAAACCAACAGCAGGATTTTAAAATCAGCTCTCTGACAGGAAGTCAGTGTAAAGACCTCAGAACTGGACTGATGTGATCCACTTTGTTGGTCTTAATGAGGACTCGAGCAGCAGCGTTCTGAATCAGCTGCAGCTGTCTGATCAAAAAAGAATTATTAATGCATCTATCTGCAGAATCTGCAAATTTATCTTAAAAAGAAACCGCTTGAGTCTGAGCGGTGAAAAGAGGAGTTAACACAATAACATTTTATTAATCATTTACTAAACTTCCATGTTCTGAGGGAGGATCAAGTGGTGGAATCTGTATTTGGCTGTAGCCTACATTACATTTAAAATATATTTGTTCATCTTTAATCTGACAGGGACAAAACACAGGGGCCAGCAAGTGAAGTAGAAAAATATAAAGATTGATAAACTATAGACAAAGAGACACGACTGTAAGCTCCCAATCTGACCCAGCAGTGATGTGTTTGCTGATTTGCACTTGAAAAGACGATGAGGTTAAAATACAGCAGCAGCATTCTTCATTTCAGCTACAGACGTGGACAAAACTGTTGGTACCCTGTTTGGTACCCTTCTGTTAAAGAAAGAAAAACACACAATGGTTCCCAAAATAACTTGAAACTGATTAAAGTAATAATGAATAAAAATGTACTTGTTACGTTCCTCCGGATGGTAAGTCCAGGGGGAGGAGGAGTAAGAATATTTGAAATAAAAACCGGGGCAAAAGAGGAAGTCAGGGTTATGTGCAAACTAAGGTGTATTTATTCAATATTCAACAAAGAAAAACCAACTCAAAACTACTCTCTCAAAAGGAGACAGCGAGCCAACAAGGTAAGGCAACAATAACACTGGGTAAGTAACTGAGGGAGCAAGATTTTAAATTAAATGAACCGCTGAAAAGTCCTCTCTCCACTGAGGAGGTGACCAGACGCTGTTCTGGAGTCACGGAAGCTCTACGCTGGTGTTCAACCCACTGGCTGAATGGTAGTGATGTGTCCGTCCGTATCGAGGCTTCGAAGCGTGTGTCGAGTAATACAGGATGATTTTTGTGAAGCGCGTATCGAGGCTTGTGTTGATGACGACTGTGGTGACGTTCGAAGCCTCGCGAGCCGGCCGTACGTGACTGATTCAGGAGACGTTTTGCGGGTTTGGCGTGCGATCCGAAAGGAGCAGCAAAATGCAACGGACCCTCTTCAACATTTTGTGGACTTTTGAACTTGAACACAATTAGATTTTATCTACAGCTCATTTCAAATGACTAAAAAAGTTTATCAACTTATGTCAGAATTTATTTTGATCAAATAACTTTAAAAATTGTGATGAAACAGAGGAAAAGAAAGTGTTGACATTTTATGGCTTTGGTAAGAATTAAACTCTTACCCCATATTACCCTAATAATAATTTTCTAAAGCAGGTAAAATCATCTCCAAAAAAGAAACCGCCTGAAGCACTGTGGAAGGGTTATTTTTAAATGAAGATGAATAAAATGTTCTCTATTATCTAAAGTCACAAACCAAGTTATCATAACCCTCTCCCTTGTTTCCACTTTCCTTCTGACCCTGTCATTGTATCATAAAGACAGACACCTTATTAAAAAGCCAATCAGTCATGTATTGGCATCAAACATCATTCATTAATTTATTCAATTCAAAGCTTCACACATCAAAGCTGTGTTGCCGTTATAATGACTCTGCCTGTTTTACATTTATTGTCCACTTGATGGCACACTAGAGCAAAGGAAGCACCGTGAAGCTTCGGCCCATGAGTGAACCCACTGGATGGAAAGCTTCAATGCTTCATAAAGCATCATCTCACTACTGAATGGGCTGCCTCTGTCCACTGGGCTGACGGGCTGGCAGTGGTCTGCTCACGGGTGTTGGTCTGTAGTGTGGTCGCAACAGGTACAAAGGGAAACAGACCAACTGTTGTGAAAAAACCAAGCCTTCTTGTGCTCCAGGCACTGAGTGGTGATCAGGCACACCTGCTGCCACTCACTCATGCAGCCGAGGCATGTGGGGAAGGGCCACTACCTGAGAGGGAGAACACACAACCCAACCCAAACACACGACCCTGGGTCGTAACAGTACTGAAATTCAACTAATGAAATTAAGACGTTGCTTTTGAGTTGTGGTTCAACAGAATCATTTTAAAAAACAAACTAATGAAGCTGGCCTGGACAAAAATGATGGAACCCTGAACTTAATATTTTGTTGCACAACCTTTTGAGGTAGTCACTGCAATCAGTCGATTTCAGTAACTCTCAGTGAGACTTCTGCACTCGTCAGCAGGTATTTTGGCCCACTGTTACTGATCTGTGTTGACATGAATAGGTGTATGAATGTTGTGCTGATATTTGGATGATGTCTGTAGAAGGCTGACATTATGATGATCCACAATAACACAATGACAAAGTCCCTCTACTCATTTTAGGGAAAAGCTCATTGATTAGGACATAGTAATGTTGAGCTCCACATTTAAAACCTGAACACATCTGATTGGATTAGAAATGGATTTTTATCTCCATCATTTATTCTTTATTCAGATTGAGGGGCTGCAGGTTGTCAGAGATCAGCTGTGCTTCTCTGGCCACAGCTCTGAAGTCCAACCCCTCCCATCTGAGAGAGCTGGACCTGGGTGACAACAAGCTGCAGGATTCAGGAGTGAAGCTGCTGTGTGGTTTTCTGGAGAGTCCACACTGCAGACTGGAGACTCTGAGGTCAGTTCACTGACTGTTACTATTGTAGATCTGATATGTTTAATTAACAATTGAACCTAATTTCTGTTCATACATAACTTCCATCCATAATGTTGTAAATTTTTTTGTTCATATTTTCACGTTTCTTTTACTAAATTTAGTCTGCAGTCACAAAGACTTGTGTTTCTTAAAGAAACTGTAGAAAATGTCCGCTGTTAGTCGTTAAAGTAAATGACACCATTTTTTCCTTCTGTGCTGAGATTAAAATGATGTGAAAGTTGTGGTGACACTAAAGTGCAGACATGAGGCTGATATTATACATTATAAACCTTCAACTCTGAACAGATTAGAAGACAATGTTCCTGCTTCAAATCATTCAGTGTTTAATAAAGTTACATCATTTATTCTTTATTCAGATTGAGGGGCTGCAGGTTGTCAGAGATCAGCTGTGCTTCTCTGGCCTCAGCTCTGAAGTCCAACCCCTCCCATCTGAGAGAACTGGTGCTAAATAACAACAACCTGAGGGATTCAAACGTGAAGCTGCTGTCTGATCTTGTGGAGAGTCCACACTGCAGCCTGGAGACTCTGAGGTCAGTAGAGGGTTGGAGTCAGTCCATGCTGGTTTCAGCAGTATTGTACTAAACACAGTTAGTATCAAAGCAGAGATCCAGTATTTCCTGTAAACCTCCAACCTCCTCAGCGGCTGCTTTCCTCAGTGAAGCTGTGAGAGGAGAATGATGACAGGCTTCAGGATTGGACAGAAAGACACAGAACAGGCAGTGATCATGTGTTTGAGTTGATGTGAAGACAACTGTTGTTGTTGTTGTTGTGTTCATGTCTCCAGGAAATAAAGCTGGATTCCAGCTGACAGCATCACAAGATGTATAGAGACAGTGGTCCTCATTCATCAAACTGACAGCTGATGAAGGGAGTCTCTGTAAACTCTGATTTATGACTTCTGCTCTCTGTCTTCTTCTCTCATCAGATGGAAGTGATCTCTGTCGGAGTGTGAGGGGTCAGAAAGGTGGAGGTGTTGAGAGAGGATCAGCTGTGTCCTGATGATCCAGAGAGGTTGAAGCAGCAGCATCAGCTTGTGTGTGGAGAGGCTCTGACTGGGCCATGTTACTGGGAGGTAGAGTGGAGAGGAGAGCTTCATCCAGCAGTGACTGACAGAGGAATCCCAACAGTGCTGCAGTCTGAACTGCTCTGAGATCAGCTCCACTGTCAGACGCAAAGTCAAGTCCACCATCATCCCTGTGTGTTCCTCTGAATGTGACAGAGGATCATCAGTGGATCTGGACTGCTCTGCTGCTGCTCTGTCCTTCTACACAGTCTCTGCAGACACACTGAGACTCCTCCACTCCTTCTGCTGCACACTCAGACACCTCCTCCATCTGGACCTGGACTTTGTTTAGTTCAGATGTTGTGGAGAGGTGGAGAACTACAGTTAATCTTTACATTATATTCCTGATTCATTTTTGAAGTTCATGTGAATAAGCAGTTCGCTCTCTGAAGCTTCTTACCACCAACACCAGACTTTTCTCTCAGTTTAACAGATAATAGTTTGTAACACAGAAACAAGAAGATAAAACCTGTGGAAAGTTTGAATTTAACGGAAGCTTCACTGAGGTAAACTGAGACACCATCCTGAACACCTGAACATTTTAATAAATTGTTTATTTTAGTTTTTCTTTTGACATGAAAGTAACACACATAAACATACTAACTCTAAACCTTAGTGTCATTATTAGGGATTAAGATTATGGAAATGACTGTGTTTTCTCATATCGTGACAGTTTATATTATTGTAGAATAAACATTTATGCTGATATTCAAATCAAGTTCAGAGAGCGGATAGACTCCATCAGACCTGCTGTTACATCCTGTTTTATTTTGTGTTTCCCTTTGATCATCTGATTGGCTGGCCCTTGTGCTGACTTGTGGGCTGTGTCTATATTGGTAGTCGAGTGTTCAACTCTCTCTCTGCTGCATCCAGTTTTTTGTGGTGTTTGGTATCGTTTTTTATTCATTTATTCGTATTCAAATAAACTTGCATGCAGTAAGCTCTTCTCCTGGTGTTACGTCTATTGTTATGTTTGGTGTTTGAACCGTAACACCGCAATTCAAAGGAGACAATGTTTCATTTCAGTTATTTTTTATTATCTAATGTGTATTTTATAAATACAAATTCTTTATATAGCAGACATATATGTCTGCAGTCAGATTAACACCAACAAGGAAGTGTAATGTGTCCCTGAACAAAGGGGGGGCAAAATCAAAAGTAACAATCAGTTTCTGATGTGGCCCTTTTGTCACATTTAAGTGTACAGTATCTCCCAAAAGTGAGTACAGCCCTCACATATTTGTAAATATTTGATTATATCTTTTCATGTGACAACACTGAAGAAATGACACTTTGTGACCAGCTCGGCGATGTCGTCATGGAGGAGTGGAAGAGGACTCCAGTGGCAACCTGTGAAGCTCTGCTGAACTCCAGGCCCAAGAGGGTTCAGGCAGTGCTGGAAAATAATGGTGACCACACAAAATATTGACACTTTGGGTCCAATGTGGACATTTTCACTTAGGGTTGTCCTCACTTTTGTTGCCAGCAGTTTAGACATTAATGGCTGTGTGATGTGTTATTTTGAGGGGACAGCAAATTTACACTGTTGTACAAGCTGTACACTCACTACTTTACACTGGAGCAAAGTGTCATTTCTTCAGTGTTGTCACATCAGACATTTACAAAAATGTGAGAGGTGGACTCACTTTGGTGAAATACTGTATATATCCTGTACATGGCAGTGATTCGAATTTTAGTTTTGTTGCTCATCTTACTGGTGCATTTATTGCACACTCTTTAAAAAGTCATATTATTTAATATAGATCATTTTATGAACTATATTAAATAACACAATTATTTTTATTCCACTGTATCAGCCTAAATCGGTTTCACTTCTGCTGTTTGTCAGGGTCACACTGAATTTTAGAAATACTGAGCTCATATATATATTAGTACTAGAAGCCAAGTGAAATACACAACATGTGTAAGTTTTTTTTGGTAGAAGGCAAGGGCGTCATTTTGTGTTGAAAGTGGTGGTGACATAGGGGCTCAGACTGGGGCTGTAAAGAGATGCGAGACATCACGATACACGATATCAGGTTCACAAGAACGAGAAGAAAAGATCCTTAAACAGTGTTTTAAAGATATCCTCAATGCTGAGCTATAAGAGCGGCGGTCTGGGGGGCCTCCCTCAGTAAATTTTGATCATTAAACACTTCATTTCCTGCATTCTGGTGAAAGTTTCTGCACCAATTTACGGTGGAAATGTTTTTATTTATGTAAAAGGAAACACAAGATTCAGGTGGCAGGTGACAAATCAAAATATATAAATATAACAGAATCTAAATCAGTGCAGCTCTTTTTGCAGATTCTGTGCTGCTTTCAGATCTGTTTCTCCTGTAGATCAACTTTTCTCACGTAATATCGTCCTGCTGAGTCATGATTTAGTCGTCCCTCCTCTTTTGTCATGTTCACAGGGAGAGAACGGAAACTTGGCCAAGAAGAAACTGTGTCAAGAAGTTGTTAAAGTTACTGATCGGTGCTGCACGTGTTTGGGTAATTTTATAATCAGTAGCTTGTTTTGTTTTCTTAGCTCAAGTTACTTTTTTTGGGACAATGCACATGTTTCTTCTATATTTTAATTGCATTGCATGTTCTCACTGTGCGAATTTCTAAAAGCATTTTCATTAGGTATTTAACTGCAAGCTATATTTCAGAAGGTTTTTATTTTTTTTAACAAATTCTGCTTTAAAAAAGTGATGGGGACATGTCCCCAGCGTCCCCAGCGTCCCCAGTGTAAATGACACCTATGGTAGAAACTCACACCTCAGTGTCCTCAGAGTTCCAGCCTGTACAAGTTAAAAAACAACTAAAACTAGCTAAATATAACTAAATTACTAAGTATTTCAATACATTTCCAATTGTGTGAAAATGTGAAAACTCCCAAACCTTTAAAAGTTTAATTAATATATGCTTTTATTTTGAATGTTTCAACCGGAAGTTCCTTTGTACCCGTTCCGGTTGGTTTGACATTAGATTAAACGACCGTAACTTTGCGGTAAATATGTTAAAAAGTTAAAATTGAACATGTCGGAGGTGTAAACTTGACTCTCTGGGTCTCTCAGCTGAGAGTGAACGCGTTACTAAAGCGTTTAAAAGCGGTAAACCGTCACGCACGCCGTCACGCAGCGGGGGCGGCAGGAGGAGGAGCCGCCGCTGCTGCGGTACAAGTGTCCGGACTCCCCGCTCACTTCCTCGCTTGCTCCCGACACTGTCGCTTCACTAGAACCAGAACATGTACCGGTGTTTCGGAGAGCTCCTCTCCCGGGGAGCCGGCAGCGTCCTCGGCTCCGGCCGCTCCGCCGCCGCGGACTCGGCTCTCCCGGCGTCCGCGTCCCTGCTGCGGTACCGCGGCTACAGCCAGGCCGTGGACCGGGCCGACGACCCGAACTTCTTCACCATGGTGGAGGGCTTCTTCGACCGGGGCGCCGCCATCGTGGAGGACAAGCTGGTGGAGGGCCTGCGGACCCGGGAGAGCGCCGAGCAGAAGAGGAAGCGGGTCCGCGGGATCCTGAAGATCATCAAGCCGTGTAACCACGTCCTGAGCGTCTGCTTCCCCATCAAGAGGGACAGCGGCGAGTGGGAGGTGGTGGAGGGCTACCGGGCCCAGCACAGCCAGCACAGGACGCCCTGCAAGGGAGGTGAGACCCGCACCTGACACGAGACAGGGAGAACATCACTATTTAGCATTGTTTTTAATGGTTTTAGTCATCTTAAAAAGCAGAAATGTCCAGATTCACTGGCTGTAGCTGCTCTGCAAAGAAATATCTGAACATTACTGTATATTTCATTAAATATCATGAGAATAAAGTGACTCAGAGGAGCTTAAAAAGATGTCAAAGTGTAAAAAACACACATCTCATGAGGAATATCATAACAGTGAATATTATAATAATGAGATTAGACTGCAGGAGGAGAGACGTGTTAAAGGCTGTAATAATGATTTCATCTGCTTCTCATGACTATTTATGTTCTGCCTCTAATGAATAAGGACGTTTTCTAATATTTATGAGAGACTAGAGGAAACCCGGAGAACCAGTATAGAAGTATTGATGTTTATTATTAGAGTCTTTAATCAGCATTAAACTCGGCTTTGCTCTCATTATAATCTGGATATCTTTGGGTTCTGGACTCTGATGTGTTGCAGAGGTGTGTGTGGAGTCCGTCTGAAGGGGATTCAGATTCAGGTGGGAACACAAAACAAACAGGACTGATTAGATCCCAACGAGGCAAAACAAGCTCGGAGAGACGAGGACAGCAGCGTAGGAGGAGAGGAGCTTCATCACAGATTCATTTAAACTTTAGGAAATGTTACATTCATATTAACAACAGCTCCTCAGATGTCCTTAAACCGCTTGGTTTGCATATTTAATTTACTGTAAGACAAAGACAGAGCAGCAAATCCTCATGAGAAGCTGAAACCAGCAAATATTTAAGATTTCTGCATTAAGAATGATTAAAACAAAGAGTCAGTTATTTTCTAACGACTAATTAATGATGGTTTCAGCTCTTGTTTTGTGTCTAAAAACTATGAACTTTAACTTCTAATCAGTAACTCATGAGTAACCTGTGCAAAAGTCAGGTTTCCTAAATATTGTTATTGACGTCCAAAGTTTGAGGTTGGACTGAAGCGACTTGTTGTTTCGGCTCCAGACCTGAAACAAACGTGACAAGCGACAGTATCTCTCAGGCAGCTAACTAAGATCCTTAAAGGAAAGAACAGATGTCATGGTTGTGTATTTGTGTCTAAAAACATGTGGTAACCTTAATTAACCTTATTTATTTATTTGCATCCTTCCACCACAGCTGCTTTAAAGGAGCAGTAATTTAAAAGCTGCAGCAAATGATAATTTTCTGGATTCGTCGTTTTGTTTTGTTTCTGTAAAACAACAGAAAACAATCCACCAACCTAAAGATATTCATCTCACAGAAACGTTTGCCTAAAAAGATAATGATTAATTTCAAAGTGTGAGACTGTGTCAGCTGAGGAGAGTGAAATTAAAGATTACTCTTCCTACCGCTTTGTTGATTTAAATTGCAATTCCACATCCTTGTGTAGTTTTAGTCAGGGTGTGTGTGTGCAGGTGACGTAATATTTGTTACTGTGCGTGTTGACGGTGTTTTAAGGTGCTGAGGTTTCCTCCTCTGACAGGAATGCTGACGGTTCGGTGTGTTTTCACCCTGGAGACTCTGCTGTGATGTGCACTGAAGGTTTGTTTGCCTCGTTGTTTCCTGCCTCGTAGTGCGACAGCAGCTCGGTGTGGTCTGTTGACACGATGTTCAGACTGCAGCACAGACAGATGTGCAGGCGTCTTGAGGCCAAGAAACCATCTGACCCACTCAGAATACAGACCGACAGACAGACACCAGGTCGGCAGAGGGATTCTGCTCAGTAGGAGAGCGGCAGCAGTACGTGGTGCAGACGAGCACTCCCTAAAAACAGACAAAGAAGATTGAGCAAGATTCTGTTTGCCGAGGAGGTAGAGCAGTTAATCCCTGACCAAGCCTGGCCTGATCAACCAGGACCGTTTTAAGGGACAGACCGGTTTGGAACTAAAGTCTTAAACGTTGATGAGAGCAGTCCAGGCTGACTGAGAGTAAAGCCTGATTTATAGCCTCCTTCAGAGTCGAGTCAGCAATGTGCGTTGGTGTCCGCGTCGTTCTGCAGTTATACCGCCAAACTGCTAGCTGGAGGTGGCGTTACAGCACCCGCTGACCCAAAACCTGTGCATGGTTTTGTGCCTGTTCTCTGCAGTTTGCACTTTAAAGTGCTGACATGTGTCCTGTGTGTGAGTTAACCACGTAGAGCCGCGATGATTTAAGTCTGGGCTGCATGTTTGCTTCACAGCTTCTGTACTAATAAAGTTGGTGACCTGGCTCTGCAACGCCGAGGCTCGCTGTAGGGACGCAGACGTTCAGAGGCCTGCTTCCCATGTTCCTCCCGTCTTTTCAGCCCGGCCTGAACTCTAAACTCAGCTCGTAGCTGTTCCCTCGACAGCAGCGGCGGGATGTTTCCAGGAAACCTTCAGGACGCTGCTCGGGGCTCAAAGTCACGCCAATTAGTCAACAGAAATGTGAGACTTGTTAATCCCATCAGACTGTGATGTTCTCCGCAGGAAGTCTGGCTGCAGATCAAACGCTGACTGCTAATCTGTTACTGATCCCAGCTGGGAGGGGAACCAGCTACACGTGTTGCAGTAGCAGTACGTGGCGCAGTGTAGCAGTACGTGGCGCAGTGTAGCAGTACGTGGCGCAGTGTAGCAGTACGTGGCGCAGTAGCAGTACGTGTTGCAGTAGTGGATGTAGTAATACACCTTTAGTTTTGAAGCATGTACTAAAAGCTGTGGAGGGCTGAGCAGACGTCCTGTGTGTTGTCTCCTCTTGGCTGAGTAATGACTAACTGTGTTTGCTGTGCGGAGGTGACCTGCTGGACCTGCTGGACCTGCTGGACCTGCTGGACCTGCTGGACCTGCTGGACCTGCTGCTGTGGTAGTCAGTAAATATAGTAGTCCTGTTAGTGATCTGGACCTTCAGACCAGAGACCTGTGCTGCTTTTAGGTTGCTTGGTAGATTTAAAGCTCTTACGTTTGCACCCAAACCATGAAACAAACAGCCGGCGCACTGCAGGGCCCCAGTCTGCACGTGGTCACTCTGTTCTGACCCAAACCATCAGGCCCGTCCGACTTCCTGTCTGTTGTCTGAAAGTTTTATCTTTCCTCAAACAGCTGCTCGCTGTAGTTCTATTAAAGCAATGGGAGGAAAAGTGCATCTGTTTGGGACTATTTTCAGCGGCGGATGGATCCACATGTGGCGCTCCGGGCAGCAGGGCGGGGGGTGTGTGTGCGTGTGAGGTTATGTGAGACGGCGTTTCCTCAGGTGTCTCCCACAGAGGCTGGTTTAATCATTTGTTATTCAGACTCGTTTCTACCAGCAGCAGCTTTGTCTGCCGGGCTGCACAACAACAAGCTTTTCTAAATAAATGATTGACCAGCTGTAGAGTGTACGTGTGCTGACAGATCAGGCCGCCGTCTCTCTGGTGAAACCATCCTGCTGCTGAGTCCCGCTGGTTCTCCACACCAAACTCAACTGTTAAAAACTTTTAGTCCCTGGGTCTGGTTTGAAGGAACTAAAAGGTTCCTTCAGCACACTGTTGTGTGCGTTTCCACCGCGGTCTAAAGACCGACGAAGATCAGGCAAATTAAGCAGCTGACGGAGGCTGCAGGCCTGAACGCCTACAAATAGATGCACAGGCATCATATTTGCATCATTATCAGCTGTTCGCTTGTTTGAGAGAGGAGACCGACGTCAGCTCTGTGTAGAAACCTCCCGACTGATGAAAACTTAAAACAACAACTCAGGACCCCAGAACTAAATTTAGACCCTGGTCCCTGCGGTGGAAACGCAGTGAGTTCCTCCAAAGGTTCCTAGTTCCGGGGTTTAGTTCCTGTTGGTGGAAACGCAGCTTTTGTAAGGTTGTCTTGATGGGAAAGCTCTCACACAGACACTGGGAAGGTAAAGGGAAGAGAGACGCTGCTGTTTATATTCAACAAGTATCAGTAAGTATTTGAAACTTTCCAGATGTTGGAGTGAAACAAAGAAGTTGGTTAAATCAACCCAAATATGAGATTGTGAGAAAAAGACGATGAAGCCGTGTACAGTTTAGTCTTGGACTGTTATCCCCTTTTATATAAAGGTTTTAAATAATCCATCAGGGGCCACCTGCAGACCAGATCTGACCCTCCGCCTCAATTATTTGGCCCCACAATGAAATCGGACCTTCTCCCTTTAATGGAGCTGCATCATCTCCATGTGAGCGGCTCTCAGTATAATCCAGCACAACATAACCTCCAACTGCGACGTCAGTGATGAACAGAGGTAGAATTTACCCCCCCCCCTTCTCTGTGCTGTCTGTTTGTGGCCCCGGGGACACATCAATACATGCATAAATAAATAATTAAACAGACAAAGGAGTAGATTAATACTAGAATCTGTCTGGCACAGTATGGTATGCAGCCTCTGACACTCAGGACGGGTATTAAACTCTCTAAATATGAAGCAGGATGTACGGCTCCTGTGAGGGTGGAGTACTTAATACTTGTCTTGGTGCACAGAGTGAGCTGAGTGTCTGTGGGCAGGTCATTAAACGTTACCTGACACACACGTCGTGGCTGGAACTGTGTTGTGTCTTTGTTTCCTCTCTGCAGAGCCGCTCAGGAGTTATTCAGAGTTTCAAAAAGCTGTTATGATGACCACACCCTGACTGAGTCACCCTCCTTTCTCTCTTTCTCCGCTGACTTCTCAGGTTACTATTTTCTCCTTCTCTTTTCTTCTTCCTCTTTTCTCCTCTCTCGCTCCTGTGGACAGTTTTTACTTCTCGCTGCAGCTCTCAGACTCTGAACGCCACGTCTCAAAGGCCGTGTAGTGATGAAACGAAGAAGCGTCTGTCTGTCTGAGCTGCAGCGGCGAGCAGGCCTGCATGTGTTGGCTTCACTCCAGACACTCTCACGCAGCCCGTTTCAGCAGCAGCAGAGGGAACTCACTTTAACACACCCGCAGAAATACTTTCCAAACGTTTCCACATGTTTTACAACGGGGGGAATGCGGACGGGCCAACGAGACGAGTCTTAAGACAACATGCGAACGCGTACAGTAACATCACCCCCGTTGTACTGAACAGCCAGCCTGCGGAAGTAGTGGAGTGTTGTTCAGAGAGCCGACCAGCTGCTGTTTTTAATTAGAAGCTGAGGAGCTTCAGGGTCAGTCGACACGTACTTGAGATGGCATTCAGGGGCCCGGGGAAAGCATTTTACAGCTTGGGACAGAAACAAGCTTTCCAAAAGTTTTAATATTGCAGAGAAGATGATTGGCAAGTTACAAAAGCAGCTCGGTGACGTATTTGACAGTGCTTAGGAAGGCCAGACAGATATCTGTAGGCGCCCACTAAACTCCGTCTGGCTGTCGATTCAGGGACCCGGGACAAATATAAGATCTTTTATTCCCCGTCAGACCTCGTTCCCTCCCGCTGCTGCTGCTGTTTTCCGCTCACGGTACAGTTGTTGTGTTTAATGGTGGCGCTGTGTTGTACTCTTCATATTTCATAACTGTGCTTTCATGGTTGTATGTTTATGTTTTGGAAAAGTCAAAGACAAATTTCCACTAAGGTGGACAATAAAGTCTAATCTAGTCAACCTGGAACAGTTGCTCTCCGTGGATAATGGATCCCAGAGGTGGGAGTTTCCACAGTGCGCTATGATCCAAGTACTGCATCCATCCAGTGTTATAAATCAGGAAGACTCCACTCAGCCTGTTAGCATGACGTCCATGTTTGGGGTTCAGATATTTGAATCTTTAAAGCTTTCCAGTCTGTCCAATATAAACCAGAGATGCTCACGAGTCCCTGAGCTAGAGCCGAGTCCCTGAGCTAGAGCCCGAGTCCCTGAGCTAGAGCCCGAGTCCCTGAGCTAGAGCCCGAGTCCCTGAGCTAGAGCCGAGTCCCTGAGCTAGAGCCCGAGTCCCTGAGCTAGAGCCCGAGTCCCTGAGCTAGAGCGCGAGTCCCTGAGCTAGAGCGCGAGTCCCTGAGCTAGAGCGCGAGTCCCTGAGCTAGAGCCCGAGCCCCTGAGCTAGAGCCCGAGCCCCTGAGCTAGAGCCCGAGCCCCTGAGCTAGAGCCCGAGCCCCTGAGCTAGAGCCCGAGCCCCTGAGCTAGAGCCCGAGTCCCTGAGCTAGAGCCCAAGCCCCTGAGCTAGAGCCCGAGCCCCTGAGCTAGAGCCCAAGCCTCAAGTCACTTGTGGTTATAATGAATGTTGTATCACCTGCTGTGTGTAAACCAGGGAGTTTATAATACTGCAGAGCTACAAGGGATTCTGTGACTGTAACCCAGACTCTCAAACCCAGTGTAACCTTTTCTAAATTAAAACTTACATGATCAACAATAAACCTGTAGCCTCTTTGTAGCCAACGGTAATAATTAACGTGATGGCAGCAACGGGACGTAAATGATTACGTTAATCGACCACCACAAGTTTGGCAAGTAAACCAGCACTCTTTTCATATGAATAGTCGGAGTTAAACTCTTGTAGGTCGTAGTTAAAGCAAGAAGCAAGCTAACTGTAGATGCTAATGCTAAGCTAAACATGTTTACTAACCTGTTCTAGGTTTTTATTCTATTAACCCCGTCTCTGACATAAACAGCCCACAGGGACATTTCAGCATGTGAGCGGCTGCAGCTCATGAAGCTTTTTATGGTGTATTTTGTTCCTGGCTGTATGTTGATGTGTCAAGTTTTTGGTTTTAGTAACAACATCCTGCCAGGAGACAGACAGGAGGTTTTCTGGTGGTGTCGAACTGGGAGGTTGGTAAACGTCTCAAACAAAAGACTGGTTACTGCGTGTCGATTATTTTCTCTGTTAATCGATTAATTGTTTGGTCTATAAATTGGTGAAAATCAGTTTTTCCCGAAGCCGGAGATGACGTCCCTGGACGTTTTGTTTTGTCCACAACCCAAAGACATTCAGTTTACTGTCACAGAGGAGCAAAAAAACCTGAAAATATTCACATTTAAGAAGCTGGAATCCGAATTTTGCCTTTAATTTACTAAAGAAAAGACTCAAACCGACTGATCGATTATTAATATCGTTGCCAACTTATTGAACATGTGTTGCAGCTCTGTGCTCCAACACTTTGGACCTCGACAGGAGCTGAGGTGAGACCTGGTTCCTTACTGAAGAGTCTACTTACACAAAAGTTTTGTTGTTTGCGTGTTTCAGGAATCCGTTACAGTACAGATGTGTCTATGGACGAGGTGAAAGCTCTGGCCTCGCTGATGACCTACAAATGCGCCGTCGTCGGTGAGTACACACACGGTTGTTCCTCTGTCCTCGTGGGGACGTCTCATTGACATAATTCGTTCCTGAACCCTGAAACCAAGTCTTGACCCTTAAAACGTCTGGCGTCCAGCACTTTGGAGCCCACAAATGAAAGTGAGTGTTTGTTGTGGTGTTCCAGATGTGCCGTTTGGTGGAGCCAAAGCTGGAGTGAAGATCAACCCGAGGAACTACTCTGTAAGTTTCAACACGACCTTTCTGATCTCACTCGTTGTTCTCCAGTATCACGACTCGAGGGAAGTTTACCAGGTTGAACCAACGGGAGTCAAAGTGTCAAAACAAACACATAAAGGACGACGAGACAGAAAAGGCTTCGGGCCCCTTGTGATGATCCTCAGCAGGAAGTTGATAGTAAATTTATTTTTATGTTTTTAGTACACACAGTAGGGGAAAACAAAGTGAATCAAATAAATAAATATAAAGGAGAAACACAACAGCATAAATACCTCGGGAACAAGAGCAGCACACAAACCTTGAAACGCTGGCTTGTCTCTGAGCGATTGGACAGACGATAAAACAGGTTTAAACGGACACCGTTCAGACCTGCAGAAACATTTGTTATGATTGTACCAGCAGATCAGGATCATCAGCTTCCTGCCAGGGTTTCCTGGTTCACTCTCGTTACCGGCTGCTACTGTAAACCTGCGGTTTCACCTCGAGTCTGCAGCTCACTGGTTTTTCCCTGTGATCAGTCGTTTGGGTCATTTTCTAAGAACAAAGTCTCTGGTTTCATTTGAGGGTTTTATATCTCAGTAAACTGAATATCATAAAGTTTTAGACTCTTAAGATCAGTTTCTGATGTTTGATAGAAAAAACAAATAACCAGTTTACCGATGAGTTGATTTACGAGATGAATCGATATTTGAATCGATACTTTATTGATGATGATGGCATGGCGCCGAGGCCTCGTGATGAGTCGTGATACTGTCACAGTGGCCTGGTAGTCCTTCATGCTACACCCAGCATATAAATAAAATAAAACAAAAGAATCAAGTTATTTATATCCATATATTTATGAGAACTGTCGATACCACGGTAAAAAAATAACTAGCTGTGAGAGGATGTCCGGGACAGATGAGAGGTGGTTTCATGTTAATATATTCACATTAATTACTTTATTTTCTTGGCTTTTCTATATATTAGCAGTAGTTTGAGATTTTTATCTTGAAAAACTAGTTATTGATGATTTGAAATGGATCTTATCGACCTTTTCAGACCCGCAGTCACAGGACCGTTGGACAGACGTTCAGTTCTCAGAGCTGCAAACTGCGTCGTCACCTTTGGTGATTTTGAGTTGATCAAACGGTGAAGCGTCGGCCTGTTCGAGGAGTCGAGGCGGAGCAGTCGCTGCAGGTCTCGTGACATCCCTAATATACTGAACACAGACAGGTGCATCTCAGACAATAAGAATATTATGAAAAGGTTCTGAAATATCTCACTTGGTGTCTAATGAATCTAGAATATATGAAGGTTTTCAGATATTCTGTGTTCCTGTAAACACCCAGGAAATAATTCTGCAGTTTTTAAATGTAAACAGCAGCGTGTTCCTCTAACTGCTGATAACGCTGTGGTCTCGACCTCACCGGCCTCCCGTACGCTGACCGCCCTGTCAACCCGCTGCCGACAGGAAATGCTGAGCCATCAGCCTGCAGAGACACGCCGGGAGTCCGTGCCTCTCTCTCTCTCGCTCTGCACATGTTTGCTCGACCTTTGCGCTTTCCCATTTTTCTCTGCTGCAAAACACGTCAGCCTCCAAACGCGTGCAGCCCTGCGAGGCCTGCTGACCTCCGACCTTTCCACAGTTCCAGGAAGGAAGTTGTTCAGGACAGTGAATTTTAAAAAATGTAAAAAATAAAAAAGCCTTCAGAAAGTCTTAAATGTTGTAAATTCACTTAAATTAATCATTTATTCACTGGTTAATTCACCCATCCAGTGTCACTTATTTGGGTCCAGGTCACAATAATGGATTAATTCTAGTGATGATAGGTTGTTGTCGGGAGGCACTTGATGTAAAGGCCCTTAATCAGAATCAGCATTACTGTCAGTAGGTTTACACATGCAGGGAATTCACTTTGGTGTTTTACACAGAAGGAAAAATAAGATAAAGAGCGAGTGCTGCAGGTCAAGAATCGAAATGTAAGATATTAAAAGAAGAATAAAGGAAAGTTCATTTCATTCATTGTTATTTAAATGTCAGTTTCTGCAGTAACGTGCAGAATATTTACATTTAGATCAGTTTAATAATTGTGTACCCGTGTGAAAATGAACACTATGTGATTGTAAGGCGTTTAAGTTTGGTGAACGCTACAGAAAGCCTGCTGCTGCTGTCGAAAGGATGAGTTTCTGTCTCCTGTCGGTGAGTTCAGAGCTGCAGTCGGGACGCGCTAACCTTAGCTTAGCAGAAAGACTGGAAACAAACAGAGCTGCAGTTTGTGGTGTGTGTTTTTATTTTTAGGACAACGAGCTGGAGAAGATCACCAGGAGGTTCACCATCGAGCTCGCCAAGAAAGGCTTCATCGGTGAGTCACCTCTAAATCACAGGAACAGGAAGTTTATTATTAAACTCCTTCATGTTAACATGTTGCAGCTTTTATTGATTCAAGTACTGACACTTTATTTATTTATCCGTTTTATTGGATTTATTCTTCATTCATTCATTTGTGAAGAAGCAACACGCCTGACTAACTCCTCTTGTGTGATGAGCAACAGACACTTTCAGACTCGCGGTTCCGTCACCAGTTAGTCGTGTTGTTGACGTCTCTGTGGTTCCGCAGGGCCCGGCATCGACGTTCCCGCTCCGGACATGAGCACGGGGAGAGGGAGATGTCCTGGATCGCCGACACCTTCGCCAACACCATGGGACACTATGTGAGTCTGACAGTCAGGAGAGGACAAATAAAGTCAGGTGACGAGAAGGAAGCCTGCAGCAGCTGTGCAGAAATTCAAAGTAAAAACAGCAACTTAGAGTTCAGATAAAATGTAAAACTTACACATCAAATAAAGTTGGAAACCACCGCTGCATGCATACAGGAGAGATGATAATACTTTATTTATATAGCACTTCTACAACAAAGGTACAAGTGCTTTACAGAGAAACAAGTAGAAAGTAAATAACATCCAAAAGATAAGAGATAAAACGAGATAAAGAAAATATGTAAACGCATTCCAGATAAGAAAAAAGCCATGAGCTGAAGATAAGAGATCTGAGGCCTGCTGTAACGACTTCCTGCATTACTTGGGATGCCGATCAGACAACAACATTGCAATGTATGCTTTCTTAAACCGCCACGAGAGACCGGAGGAAGTCCCGACTTTATACACTTTACGTTACAACGTTTTAAATGCAGGACTTGTGCTCGTATTAGTACTTCAGTGCAGGACCTGAATACAGGCACATTGTGTTCACATGGTTCCTGTCTTAGAGCACCTGGTCTCAGGCGCCCAACATGTATTTCCTAATAAAAATAGATGAGTCGACCTTCAGTCTGAACCAGGTAACCCTGGAGACGGCTCCAGCTCGTGCGGCTGAAGTTGGAGGCTGATCCAGAAAGTTGACTTTTAATGCTCACTTTTGCCTTCTCAGCATGAAATAACGCTGATAGCAGAGGGCGGGCGGGCGGCGGTCTGTGAGGACGTAACCCTGTAGTCTGTCTTTCTGCTTCACACGTGAAGTCACAGCTGTTGTTGTTGGTTGTTGGCAGACTGACCCCCCCACCCTACTAACCTGGGGACCGGTGTCCAAGGTAAAGCTCCTTCTCTTTAAATCTGCAGCTTTGGGTTCAGGCTCGCTCGGGTCTTTCAGCCGGTCTGAACTGGATGGGAGTCCCTGCGTTTGTGTGTGGGAAACCCTGCTTAGGAGCGGGCTTGTCTTGGTTTCCACTGGTGCCTGGGCTGATGAAGGAGGGTGCGGTCTTCCGTGGTCCTGGTTCAGGCTCTGCCTCCCCTGAGTTCAGACTCTACAGCGTCCCCTGATAAATCTCAGCCTGCCGACTGGGACACGTTCAGGGATCCTCGGGTTTACGAGTGACTAGCGTTAAAGAGCAGTTTGATACTAGAGGAGAGTTTTTGTCCCATCACTGCAGATAATGTTTTACTTTTTGTTAACCATAAACCTGTTCCTGTCCTAAACTCAAACGAACTTCTCGTCACATGTTTGAGAAAGTGAGAATTTTAAGCATGCGGCGATGCTGACAGGCTGATGTTCACCATCGTGTTCTGGAGTCTTCTGAAGTAAAAGCGTTCAGTCAGGATGTGTTTGAGTCCAAACACACAGAGTGCAACCAGTGTGCAGGATGTAAGAACAAGAGCAGCAGGCTATTTAGCCTCTGTGAGGCACGATAATTACACAGCTGCCTCAGGCGGACTGTTGAAACCTGGTGCTCGCTGCCCAGCTGCCCGTGACTGAACCGAGGACACATTGTTCCAGTCAAGGACAGATGGGAAACATCTGACAGAGCTTTCATCTTCACCAGAGGAGAGTTCCTTTTTATGACCGCTACATAATGAAACACTCACTCACCCATTAACCTCTTAACCCGTGGACGGGGTCACCGGAGCCAATCCCAGCCCACGTCGGCTGAAAGGAGGCGTCCACCCTGGACAGGTCGCCAGTCCATCGCAGGGCCACATATACACAGTCTCACACCTCAGGGAAATATATGCCGCGTCTCCACCAAAAGCACCCGGATCTGTTTTCAAGGAACTAAAAGGTTCCTTCAGCCCACAAGATTAGGCAGATTAACCAGCTGACGGAGGCTGCACGCCTGCACGCCGTGCAAAGAGATGCACAGCCATCATTATTTAGTAACCACGATCCATGAGCAACATTTACATTTGACTGGAATGTAATGAAAACCTACAGGCTGTGCTTGACCACATGATAAAGTTAGTAACAAACTGGATAAAACCATCCAGGTCTTAAAATAACTCCAGCACAGAGAAAGAAACACAAACGTTATTAAAACATTTCCAGCCGACAGGAGCGTCACGCCTGAGTCGCCTGAGCGTCGGAGGAACGGGACGTTTAACGAGCTTTATTACCTGCTGTAATCAGCTGCTCCGCTTGTTTTGGAGAGGAGGAGACTTCAGCTCTGTGGAAAAACTTAAAAACACAGTGAAACAAGTGATTTCAGTGACACGTGTTGGCGCGCTAACGCTAGATGGAGAGTCACAGGGTCACCAAAGTTCTTAGAGGTCATCATCCTGAGGGGGACACGAAGATCTGAACCACGTTTCATCACAGTCCATCAGCTGCAGAGAGACAGACACGACCGTGCAAAGCGTTGACACTGTTAGTAAAACAGTGGCGTTGAATGTAACCCAGGTTTGGCTGAATCCAAGGTGACGTCTTCAGATGTCGCGTTTTGTCCGACCATCAGTCCAAAACTCAAAGCTCTTCAGTTTGGTGACAGGAAATCACTTCTGTGAAGCTGAAACTGTTTTGCTTAAAAACAGCAGAGATGGTGAAATGCAGATTAATTTCCTGTTGAGTAATCTATTGTTAAACTAATGTTTCAGCTCTAGTTTTAGTGACGCTGAAGGAGGCGGAGCCTGAAACGGGACACGACGCTGTGTGTTTGTTGATTTGCTGGCTGGTCTCGCTTCTTCTAACATGCTTTAAATAAGTAAGAACTTGTAGACAAATCTTTCATTGACCTCTCTCTTTCTTTCCCTTCAGGACATCAACGCTTACGCCTGCGTCACCGGGAAGCCCATCAGTCAGGGAGGAATCCACGGGCGGATCTCCGCCACCGGCCGAGGAGTTTTCCACGGCATCGAGAACTTCATCAACGAGGCGGCCTACATGAGCCAGCTGGGGATGAGTCCCGGCTTCCAGGACAAGACCTTCGTCGTCCAGGTACAGTCCGTCCTCTTCATCCCGGGTTCGATCCCCGGCTCCCCCGGTCTGCATGTCAAGATACTGAAACTGAATCACTGCTGAAGGCTGTGACATCAGTGTGTGAATGAGTGAATGTGACATGTAGTGTTAAGCTCTTTGAGTCAGAAGACTGCTTCCAAACTAACAAATACTGCATATCAGAGCCTCAGCTGACGATTATTTTCATCATCAGTTAGTCGTTTGGCTTGTTAAGCATCAGGAAAACGCCGATCACAACATCCTGACGTCGTCCAGTGAAGCCCACGACCCCAAAATATTCAGTGTACTTGTGATGTCGGACCAAGAACAGCAGAAAAGTCTCACATTTGAGGAGCTGGAACCATCTGATGTTTGTATTTTTGCTTGAAAATGAGAATCTTCATGTTTTGTACTTGTCAAAACAGCTGGGGGTTTTAAACAGTAAATATTGCACCTGGGATATTTTATAAATATTGTATGATAACTGTTGTATTTTAGTTTATTTTCATCAAATCTACAGTTACAATTGCATTCCAGGTGTATTAGACGATCTGTCAGTTGCATTATAATCTATCTGATGATTGTTTTGATGATTTATTGCGTTAAAATAGAGCTTTTTTTTTACCAGGCGGGGATGAAAATATCATTTTTTCTTTATTGCATCTCCATGTAGTCTGTAATGTAATAGGGGCAAATAGCTGGCTGACCCAAACAGATTAATTTATAGCTATTTGTGTATTTGTGCTATATATTTTTGGGGGGTAAAAATCTTCATTTTTAAAGTAATTAGTAAGTAAAAAGCTGTCAGATAAATGTGAAGTAAAAAATTTTGCAGATGTGGTGGAGTACAAGTACAAAGTGGCATGAAAAGGAAAAAACTAAAGTACCTCAAAAATGTGTACATTAAAGCCGGGGTCGGCAGGAGGGAGGCCGTCTCCTGCTGCTTTCTATAAACAGGACATGAGTAAATGTACTTGGTCACATTCCACCGCTGCGTCTGACCCTCTTTACAACCACCAGTGACCGAAATACTGAAGTCACATGATGTCAACTGAGCCGGCTCAGTTTGCTGCAGACGACGTTAACGTACATGTGAACCATCGGGAAAAGTTATTTTGGCACACGGGTCAAGAGAGGAATCCCCTCCTCGTGCTCTTGTTGTGTTTATTAATAAAACAACAGACCCGTGAAACACTCAGTTCATCTGGTTACTGAAGGCTGCCCCTTCCTGACCGCAGAGGCGCGTGACGTTAGCTTGGATTCACAGCCTCCCTCCGTTCATCCTTCAGTCCTCTTGGATCTATCATGGGGAACTGTAACCGGCATGTTTCACTACTACGGCTGGGACCAACGATTATTATCAATATTAATCATTTAAGACCAGAAAATGTCGGGAAATAGTGAAAAATTTTAAAAGAAAAAAGTTTTCTGATGCTTTATAAACTAATCAATTAGTCAATTAATCAAGAAGACGATTGACAGATTAATAAACCAAAGAAAGTGCTGATGAAGTGGATCACCAAAGGGATTATAATTCAGTGTCTGCATCATGTTTCATGGCAAACTGTCCAGTAGTAAAAACACAACACCTGACCAAAGCGCCGGTCAGAGGATCAGTGGATGTTCATGGGTTTTAATGTGCCCTCTGTTTTGTCTGCAGGGTTTCGGTAACGTGGGTCTGCACTCCATGCGTTACCTTCATCGCAACGGGGCGAAGTGCGTCGGAATCGGAGAAGTGGACGGAAGCATCTGGAACCCCAACGGCATCGATCCCAAAGAGCTGGAGGACTACAAACTGGTCAGGACTGGGGATAGATGAATGAACGGGGGTACAGACTGGTCAGGACTGGGGATAGATGAATGAACGGGGGTACAGACTGGTCAGGACTGGGGATAGATCATGAACGGGGGTACAGACTGGTCAGGACTGGGGATAGATGAATGAACGGGGGTACAGACTGGTCAGGACTGGGGATAGATGAATGAACGGGGGTACAGACTGGTCAGGACTGGGGATAGATGAATGAACGGGGGTACAGACTGGTCAGGACTCGGGATAGATCAATGAACGGGGGTACAGACTGGTCAGGACTCGGGATAGATCAATGAACGGGGTACAGACTGGTCAGGACTGGGGATAGATGAATGAACGGGGGTACAGACTGGTCAGGACTGGGGATAGATCAATGAACGGGGTACAGACTGGTCAGGACTGGGGATAGATGAATGAACGGGGGTACAGACTGGTCAGGACTCGGGATAGATGAATGAACGGGGGTACAGACTGGTCAGGACTGGGGATAGATCAATGAACGGGGGTACAGACTGGTCAGGACTCGGGATAGATCAATGAACGGGGGTACAGACTGGTCAGGACTCGGGATAGATCAATGAACGGGGGTACAGACTGGTCAGGACTGGGGATAGATGAATGAACGGGGGTACAGACTGGTCAGGACTCGGGATAGATGAATGAACGGGACTACAGACTGGTCAGGACTGGGGATAGATCAATGCTCCACCTGCTGGATGAACAGTGTCATGCAGAAGGTCCTTAAAGAAACATACTTTTTAATCCAGTTTCACCACAAAGGTCCTCCAACGTAAAAGCTTTTAGTTCTGTGGTTCAAATGAGCAAACTGTGAACAGCAGGATGAATTGATCGACTGGTTAAATGGCTTTTGTTTTAATTTTCGTCTCCAGGCCAACGGGACCATCGTGGGCTTCCCGAACTCAACGCCGTACGAAGGAAGCATCCTGGAGGCCGACTGTGACATCCTGATCCCCGCCGCCAGCGAGAAACAGCTGACCAAGAGCAACGCACACAAGATCAAGGCCAAGGTAACACAAACACACTCACTCGATAGTTCTCTTTTATGTCTTATTATATTTTTAATTATCCTTTTTACTTTTCTGTATTCTGTTTATAGTTCTGATCATTTTCATTCTGATTGATTCTACAGACTTAATAAAACAAAATTCAGAGCCTCTAGTGGACGTATACCCCCCCCCCCCCATCAATAATGTTCAGGAGTTTTTAGTTTCTTTTCATGGATTTGCAGCGTTAGTTCTGTGGTGAAAACCTTCAGTAGCGGCTGTGTCTAAATACATTTCCATTAGTGGATAATGTTCCTAAAATAAATCCCCTCTAACTCGTATGGGTTGGCACGAAGTGTGAAGGGTGGGGGTGAAGCGGTCTCTGCTGCTGTTCTAGAGTATAATGACTGGATGAACCCACTTCACTGGTTTCCTACTACACGGCTACTTCCTGTTGCCTCCAGGGCGCACTGCGCTGCATGGTGACGTGGCGATGGAACAGTGGATAAGACGCATGCCTTTGGTGTGAGGTTGTTATAGTTTAGGGTTTTTCATTAGTTTTTGTTTGGACTTTTTGTTTTCAATTTCAGTTTAGTTTTAATCAGTTTTTAACTTGGGTTTGCTAGTTTAGTTTTTTGAAAATGCTTAGTTTTAGTTTAGGTTTTATTAGTTTCAGTGTTAGTTTTAGTCTTTGTCGCTGCACGATCCCAAGATCAGTTCAGTTTTTTCACAAAACATTAAAATACATGTACAATCAGAAATATTTGTGAAAAGGGAAACTTTTTTTAAGCTATCTGAAGCTTGTACATGACAGGAGCCCAAACAGTAAGTGTATATATATATACATGTAAAATATCGAAGTACTGGCACATTGTCTAAATAAATACTACAAATAAAAATAAATGAAGCACATGCAATCCCAGTATAATTTCTCTACACTAACCTTTTTCTCAAAGAGCACATGTGCTCTTAACTGAAAAAATATGGAGCAGACAAAGAAATTTAGGTTAAGTAACACAGAGTTTAACAAACCATTTATTAAATAGATATTTATACTACATGTGTGCTCCCTCTTGTGTTCAATGGCATGAAACCACTGGAGGATTATGGAAGTGAAGACGCTGGTATCTGTACGCTCAGCAGTGGCCTTTAAATATTCTCAAAGCTTTTTAAAATATTGAAACAGTTGTTTTGAAAATTTATGCTTTGGTCGGCTTACCGTTGCTTTTCTGTCCTGTTTTCCCATCATGCCTCCGTACACCGACCCGGTGTCTGTTTCAGATCATCGCCGAGGGAGCGAACGGTCCGACCACGCCGGAAGCCGACCGCATCTTCCTGGACAGAAACATCATGGTGATCCCGGTCAGTGGAGACTAAAGACAGATCATGTGTCAGTGGGACTTTTTAACCTTTCAGGTGTAATGATGTTTTATTTTATTCTGTTTGCTCCTCCTCTCCTCGTCCCAGGACATGTACCTGAACGCCGGCGGTGTGACCGTTTCGTACTTCGAGTGGTTGAAGAATCTGAATCACGTCAGCTACGGTCGACTCACCTTCAAATACGAGCGCGACTCCAACTACCACCTGCTCAGTGAGTGACCACAAGAGTGTGAACGTCTGTCAGCCACCGAAACACCAAACGGGTTTATGATAAACTACGAGTTTGTTTCCCCCCCTCCTCTCTCTCCCCAGTGTCGGTCCAGGAGAGTTTAGAGAGGAAGTTTGGGAAACATGGCGGCGCCATTCCCATCGTCCCCACCTCTGAGTTCCAGGCCAGGGTCGCTGTGAGTACACACACATACTGCTGCGACTGTTACTACACGTCTCCTTCTTCTTCTGTGGTGTTGTAAACATGTGTCTGGTTGCAGGGAGCGTCTGAGAAGGACATCGTTCACTCAGGTCTGGCGTACACCATGGAGCGCTCTGCCAGGGTAACGCACACACACACACCTTTTCATAAATGTTCATGTGTGAATCAGCTCGACGGCGGTCTGAAACTTCTCTGTCTCACTTTCATTATCAACTTAAAATCAGTTTTGTAAACAGTAAACAGCAAAACAACCGGGTGGAGACACTAAATCTGTGCACACCTGTGTGAATATTTCCCTGAGTAAATCCCAGGAGGCTCCTCCTGCAGACTCAGACCTGCTGTAACGGCTGTTTTTGGCCACTTGGGGGCAGCAGGAACTGTTTTTAACCCACCCTGTTCACCAGCTGGTCTCTGAAACAGCTTCCTGCTGCCGTCACACACTGTTCACTCTGTTTGAAGTACTGATCCCTGACCTGGAAACATTTACATACATATACGTTACATACACGCTCTCCTTCTCTACATCCTCTCCTCCCTCCTCATGCAGCAAATCATGCGGACGGCCAACAAGTACAACCTGGGTTTGGACCTGCGGACGGCGGCGTACGTCAACGCCATCGAGAAGGTGTTCCAGGTTTACAACGAGGCCGGCCTCACCTTCACATAGAGACGCCTGCCTGTCTCTTGTCTGTCCGTCTGTCTGTCGGTTGTCCATCGCCTCTGCAGGACACTTTGCATACAGCAGCTGTGCGGATGAAGAGTCTGACAGTTTGTCTCTGACGCTCCTCTGAATCACATATCAGCTCAAATACACCTGCAGAGAAATAAATAAATATAAATATATATAGACAAAAAGCCTTAATAGCACAGGGAAGCTTTGTCACCATTTGCCTACACAAACACACTCTGTGGCCAAAACTATGTGGACACTCGTTCTCACTCCTCAGTGGTGTGTTTCCCAGCCTGAGCGCTCATTAAACTGTAAACAGTTATAATCTGACTTTTTTTGTTTATTAGTAGTGGATTTATTTTTTGTCTGCGTCGTCTGATTCTTTGCTTTGTGTGGGTTTTTTTTTTTTTTTTTTTTTTTTTTTTTTGTTCTGCTTCCAGTGTCATGTGAATTTTTGCTCTTCCTCTTTCTTGAGTCTGTCTTTAGGGTTTCGGTCGGGAAAAACTCCTGGGGGCGCCACTTTTCACTGCGACTAATGATTACAGATCAGTGAATCTGCTGATTATTTAAAAAGATAAATCTGGTGAATCCAGAAAGAGTCCGAGGTGACGTCTTCAGGTGTCCTGAAAACTAAGAAGCTGGAGAATCTTTGCTTTAAAAAGTAAAATCAGTTGCTGATTATCACAATAGTTAAAGGTGTTTTTTATTCTCACATCTATTCGTCCAGTAGTTCGCAGCTCTCCTGCTTTGTACCAGTTGTGAGACGTTCAACCAAAGACTGAAGATGTGTTTCCTTGTTTGAATCATTTTTCAAACACTTGTTCAATTAAAGTTAAAGATTAACTGACCGTTTGTATAAACACGTGACACCAGACGAGTGGATGCTGTAGAGTCAGTGTGGTGTTGGGCGTCCACATACTTCTGGCCACATGGTGTCTCTACAGCTGTGTCTTGTTTTTATACGACTCGATGCACATATGCCTCAGGACTTTAATATCTGCTGCCTGTGAAGTCTGGTGTTTTAATTCAACCAGATTTTACATTGAGTCTGGCGGCCGCTGGCTTCACTTCATTTCTGTTTTGCTGTGTTGCTCCTTCGGTCTGCGCTCATTTACCTGCACAGTTACATGTTTGAATAGAAATCAGGGGCTGAAACTCAGAGATCTGAAACACTACACTCTTTCTGACGTGTTGGTTCAAACGTTGAGCTCCTCGTTTAGCTCGTGTGCAGTAAATTGGACTTTAAACCAAACTCCTCTGACAGTTTGCTGGGTTTTCTTCCCTCTCAGGTCTCGACACTGTTGCAGCTAATGCTAAAGTACAAACAGCAGGACTGATCTGCAGAACGTTTAAACTTTCTGTCTGTAACTATGCAAATAGCTGAGTTCACACGCTGCTAACTCCCGGCCCCTGGAGGAGACTCACCTGTCCGTCCCACAGGGGCCACAGACGCACAATTCAAAGCTTTAATCATCTTTTTACGCAGCAGCTCACGGAGGTGATTTTGGAGGTGTTTGGTTGTTTTTGTGTTGATTGTTTGCAGCGCTGCCGCCGCCATCACCTGACACCTTAAAGACTAAAGTTTCATCTCTCAGGTGGGCAGGGGGCGGGGCTACCTGCTGGAGGAAGGGGACTTCTGTCCGTCAGCTCTGATTCAAGCTGTGGGAGTCTGTGAGGGAGCTTTTATGCCCTTTTTGTTAAAACGGAATGTTTTAAATAAAGTTTAAAAAAAAAAGTCATGTGTTGAGTTTTAATTTGATTAAAACTTTTTTGATTTTTTTATTGTTTAGGTTTCAGATCTCATGTGGGCTCAACAGGTGACATGGATTTTAAAAAAGGAAAAAGACATCACCTGTCCATCTCTCAGTTCAATTCAAATTACAGGCTGTGTTCACTCAGTCTGTATGGTGTCAACATTTTTCTTAGTTTAGGGCATTTTATTGTGCTCAGGTAATTTGCCAGTGTGAAGTAAGTGTAGTTTTTTGTGTGTTGTAATTTAGTGGTGTCTAAATAGAAATTGTGTGTAACCTGATTTCTGTATTGTTTCTGAAAGATCATTATCTTAGTCTTTGCTGTGTTTACTGTCAGGGCCCAGGTCTGACAGAATCTCTGAAGGAGGTTAAGGTGCTGCTGAAAACCTTCTTTAGTAGGTGAGAGCAACACTAAGTCATCTGCATACAGCAGACCTCTGATCTCTGTCGTTCAGGAGGAGGCCAGGTGACGTGGAACTCTCTAATTGGTTCGCTAATTCATTTTAAATATAGGTTGAAGAGAATTGGACTGAGATTGCATCCATGCCTCACTCCCCGGCCCTGGGAGAAGAACACTGTTTGTTTGTTTCCAATCTTTATGGCATGTTCACTTTTTGTATACATGTTCTTAATCAAATCATATGTTTTTCCTCCAATGCCACTTTCAAGTAGCCTATAGAAAAGGCCCTCGTGCCAGATGGAATCAAAGGCTTTTTGGAAGTCAACTAAACAGGCATATACCTTCCTTTTCCTAACGTTTAATTCTTGATCAATCAGAGTCTGGAGGGTAAATATAGGGTCCGTTGTGCGGCTATTTGGCATTTATGCAGAATATTGTGGTTATCAACAAAGTTGAGAAGTCGTTTTATTAATGATGTTGCAGAATATTTTTCCCAGGTTACTGGATACACATAATCCTCTGTAGTTATTTGGGTCATATTTATCTCCGGATTTATGAATTGGGGTTATTAAACCTTTGTTCCAGATGTCTGGTAAAGTTCCAGTTGCTAGAATAGTATTGAATAGTTTTAGTATAGCCAATCTGATTTTATGGTCTGAGTATTTGATCATTTCGTTGAGGATTCCATCAATACCACAAGCCTTTTTTCCTTTCAGGGACTGGATGACTTCTGTTCATTCTTGTTCTGTTACAGGGTAATCTAGAGGGTGTTGGTTGTTTTTTTATCACCGCCTCCAGAGTTTTCCATTTCGTGAATATCTTGTACTGATCATCATTACTGTATAATTCACTACAGTGATTAATCCAAGTATTTCCATCTTGGTTTGCCAATTCATCCTGCTGGGTTTGTTTAGGTTGTTCCATTTCTCCCAGAACTGGTTGGACTCTAAGGATTCCTCAGTTTCACAGAGCTGCTTCTTGCTGTGTTGTTCTTCCTTAGTTTTTAGGGTGTACTTGTCTGTATGGGTATGTGCTGTTAAACAGTTCACAGGCACTAGGGGCCCCAGACTTAGACTGAACCCTTTTCAGATAGTGGTCTGAGGGGGCTGACTGTGAAAGCTCTGAGAGACACTGGATCTAGATCTGTAATGAAATAATCTACCGTACTACTGGCAAGAGCTGAGCTGTAAGTGTAGCGACCCAGAGAGTCTCCTCGTAGCCCGCCGTTGACCCTGTACAGACCCAGAGAGTCTCCTCGTAGCCCGCCGTTGACCCTGTACAGACCCAGAGAGTCTCCTCGTAGCCCGCCGTTGACTCTGTACAGACCCAGAGAGTCTCCTCGTAGCCCGCCGTTGACCCTGTACGACCCAGAGAGTCCCCTCGTAGCCCGCCGTTGACCTGTACGGACCCAGAGAGTCCCCTCGTAGCCCGCCGTTGACCCTGTACGGACCCAGAGAGTCCCCTCGTAGCCCGCCGTTGACCCTGTACGACCCAGAGAGTCCCCTCGTAGCCCGCCCGCCGTTGACCCTGTACAGACCCAGAGTCCCCTCGTAGTCCGCCGTTGACCCTGTACAGACCCAGAGAGTCCCCTCGTAGTCCGCCGTTGACCCTGTACGGACCCAGAGAGTCCCCTCGTAGCCGCCCGCCGTTGACCCTGTACAGACCCAGAGTCCCCTCGTAGTCCCCGTTGACCCTGTACGACCCAGAGAGTCCCCTCGTAGTCCGCCGTTGACCCTGTACAGACCCAGAGAGTCCCCTCGTAGCCCGCCGCCGTTGACCCTGTACGACCCAGAGTCCCCTCGTAGTCTGACGTTGACCCTGTACGGACCCAGAGAGTCCCCTCGTA